GCTTAACAAACCCCAAGTGTTGTAGCCACCTTCTTCGGTGCTGGTCAGGGTGTAACGTGGTTGTGACACTTCACTGCCTGACTTTCCTTCCTTGCACTTCCCCACCCATCCCAGAGGGGCTGGGCAGCAGCTATTGATTATAGATACAAACTTTCCAGGCACAGGGGCATTTCCTTGCTTGCAGGGGCTGCTGAGGTCCCTCTGAGGAAGTAAGAGCAGAGGGAGCCCAAGGGCTGGACTCTGCCGCAGCCCCGGGAGGAGCAGGGTTCTCCAGGCTGCACACAAAACCCTCAGTAGCTGGGGCCAGGTCTCGGGCCGAGCCGCATCCTGCACAGGAGCAGCAGATGGCTCCGCTGTGCTGGGTCCGGCTGGACTGGAATTGGTTTTCCCCTACAGCAGCCCTCACGGTGCTGTGGTTTATGCTGGGAGCTGGCGGGTGTTGGCAGCACCCTGGTGTGGTGGCTGCTGCTGGGCAGGGCTTACACAGCACCAAGGCTCCTTCCGACATTCCCCCCAGTGGGACGGGGTGGGCAAGATCTCAGGAGGGGACACAGCCAGGACAGCTGACCCCAACTGACCCAAGGGATATTCCAGACCATGTGACATCTGCTCCAGTATAAAGCTGGGAGAAAGGAGGAAAGGGGAGGCACCCTTGGTCCTCCGAGGCAACCACTCTGAGTACTTGAGCTCTGCTCCCTGAGAAGGCCCGACATCGCCTCTTCATGGGAAGCAGAGAATTAATCTGTCTTCTTTTTTATGCTTCCGCGTGCAGACCTTTGCTTCACTTTGCTTATATTAAAACTGGGGGTTTTTTACCCACATGGGTTAGTCTGTCTTATTTTCTTTCCCCTCTTTGCCCTGTTGAGAAAACAAGGGGAAAGGAGGGGAAGTGATAGAGCAACTTGGTGGGTACCTGGCATTTAGCCAAGGTCAAACCACCAGAACCACACGCTCCTCTCCACGGGACTGGGGCTTTGGCTTCTCTTGGTCCCCAGCACTGCCACCTTCCACGGCCCACAGGTACATCCAGGGAGACTCATCCCCTGTGTCACCCACCCAGTGTCACCATCAAAGTGGGAAGCCCAGCAGTTGCTTAACAGTAGTCGGGTGCTGGGTCCTCTTCAATGACTCTCACATTGGTTAAACAGAAATTAAAAGGCAGAGTCGAGCAGGAAAACTCAGGCTTGAGGCTGACCTTGTTCAACCTTCCCACCCCAATTGAAACAGCAGCATCACACCTCTGCTTGCAGGAAACCTGAAGCAGTATTTACTTTTTCTGGGCATTTAGTCCATTAGTGCTAATGCCCGGGGAACAGACAGGCAGGGGCTGAGCCCAGCTTCCCCTGGCATTAACACCTCTCCCCTCGCCTGCTTCTTCACTCCCACCCTGTCTGCAGACTTTAAACCTGAACCTCAGCCTGGTGCGAGGCTCTCATAGCCAGCAGCCAGGACATCAAGGACTCTCCCTGCCAACAGTGATAGCGCCCGTAGCTTTTCATCCTGCCCTGTAGCACTAGAAAGGAAATTAAAAGGGTGATAAGGGAGCTCTTTCAGCAGACGAGGGAATATTCTGTGCTATCAGTGAGATAAACTAATATTTCTTCCAGCTCTGGCAAAGGCTGAGGAATGAGACATGGGGTAAAATTGTACATTTATAGAGATTTTATAACTCTTACCTGCCAATCCTAGGCTGTGGGATAACCATCGCCCTCGCCCACATTTCCTCAGTGAGGGAGGTCAGGGCTGTGGGACAAAGGAAGAGACAGACTCTATAAAGAGGAGAAGCTGGATCAGCTCCAGTATTTCAGGATAGGTTTATGGCTTTGCTGGGCCAGTTCAGCTGCAGGGAGATGGCTGCTGCCTTTCAGGTGCCTTTCTAACACCCTGGTGCCCCAGCAGCCCCCAGAGGGTGGTGCCAGCACAAGCTCCCCAGCTCCATGACCTGCTCAGTGCACAGAGGGTTTGCACAGGGAAATGCCGCTTGATCCCGTGCAGCAGGATTTGATCCGTCCATGTCTCATCCACTGGCCCCAGAGCAGGTGACTAACCCCTGTACAATGCTTCTCTATAGCTATAGGGGGGCTGATGCCCAGCAGGAGCAGGGTGCAGGAGGGAGGTGAGCATTTAGCTCAGTGCCATGGCCCAGCTCCCCAACAAGGCACCCCGAATGGCCTGGCCCCACCCCCATAGTGAATTAGGGCATCCCCACACGTGCGCTGAGTTGTGAGTGTGATGCTGGACCCCAAAAAAGGGCTGTTGCACCCCAAAAAGGGCTGTTGCACCCTGTCCCGCAGAGATCAGCTCGGTGCAGACCCACTGCACCCCCCCACCTTGGCTTGGGGGTCCCCAGCCTTCACTGGGGGAGGGCCAGTGGGAAGAAGAATGGGAGCAGGGATGTCCCACATATGGAAGGAGAGTAGCATCTCCAGCTCTGTGAAATCAGGGGGTTTGCCCCATTACCCTCCTCCTAACCCTGTGGCAAGGGTGGGATGCTGCAGGATGCACGAGATCCCCCCACAGCTCAGCCCCATGCCCTGCGTGAGCTCAACACCCAAATCCAGCATCCAGCCCTGATCCTGTTCCCCCCCAGTCCGGGGCAGCTGCACAACTGTGGGGACATCGCAAAGCATTTCAAGGAGAATGCCAAAATCCCCAGGAAAAGGCAGATGAATGACTGAAAGTTTCTTTGCATTTTCAGCAGAGTTGAGGGGAAGCTCCCAGCCCCACACAGGGTGGCTGTGAGGCCCCGTGCCTGGCTTGGCGGTGGGTGACAAGGGAAAGGAATCCTCCCGTGCCGGTAACTGCCATGAGCAAAGTGACTACCAGCTGCTTGAGAGCAAAGCCCTGAGCAGATGCTCTTGCTGCATTAAAAGAAAAGAAAGCTCTCTCTTAAACAAAAGCAAAACCAGAGCTACAGACACCTCCTCGGGCAGCCCAGGGTGTGCACAGTGAAGTCTGAGCACCAGCGGTTCAGAAGGAGCCATCAGTTGGTGACAGAGCGGCGTAGCTTCAGGGAAAATATTAACATTAAAATTGTTGCATCCTTTGAATGGAACATCTCAACAAACCACTGCCCCCAATCAAGCGGAGTCAGCAGAGTGGCTGAGGAGGCTTTGCCTCTGTACCCCGACCCCTTTCTCCTCCTGCATCCCTGGAGCAGCTGCCGAGCAGGGCCCGCTGGCGTTGCAGAAATGCCTGTTAAAATGGACAGCCCCTCTCCAGCTCATCCTTACCTGTGGAAATGTGGTGGGGCATTAAATGTGCATATTTAATTTGCAGTTATTTGCACAGGAAAGCAAAGACATCACTTGATAGCTCTGGGGATTATTTGTGTCTATGTGCAAGCCAGTGGTGTTCAATCGCCACCCATCTCTGCCGGGCTCAAATCCCCTCTGCACCCAAACCAGCACCATGGGACCCCACACCCCACCGAAAACATGTGTGTTTCCCACTCTCAACCTCAGGAAAGTAAACGGTTTTGGGAAAGTTACATTCAGAGATTAGATTTCTCTGGGGGGTTTTCACTTCTTTCCTTCAATTAAAGCGTATTATTTTCATGATAATGATTAATTATACAATACTGGAATGTATTATTATAATTAACATTAGCCTGCAGTTAAATGGCCTCGACATGCGAGGGCATGTGGGTGTCTTCAGGGCTTCTGCTCGCTTTCCCCGACAGCTCTGGCTGTTCCTAACGGGGACCCTTTGCAATTCCAGTGACAAACCCCATTTCTCATCGAACAATCCCACTGGATTTTATTGACCAACTGTCCTTGAGCCATCAGACTTGTGAGTGAGGATGGTGAGGGCATCTCCAGGGCTCTGCAGGTGACAAAGTCTCCTGCCAAGTGGGCGAAAGGTGGGTGAGCGGGTGAGGCCACGGCCGAAGTCCTCCCTGCTTCTCCCATCCCTGGCTGGCATTGGGCCGGGCTTTTCCCACCATTTATGAATATTTTTATGAGCTATTGACTGGCAGTGACTCAGAGTTGCTTATTTTCCTGACGCAGGTTGAGGGCGAGGGTGCGCATGGCTGTGCTTAGTCACGCCGCCTCAGCAGCCCCCACCCGCCTGGCACTCCAGGGGGAACCCCCAGCCCCGCTGCCCTGGGATGTGCGCACCACAGCACCCTCAAACCCAGCCCCGCTCCCCCGTGACCCCACAGCACCCCCAAACCCAGCCCCTGCCCCAGTCAGTGCTGCTGGCCGAGCCAGGAACCTGCAGAGCCCTGCGGTTCCTCCCCGCTGCCTCCTCCCGTGATAGGAAATGTCCCTGGGGTTTGCTCGCAAGTAGAAGATTCTCCCCCTCACCTCTATCCTTGGCCTTTTTAATTTAATTTAATTGTCTCCATGCAGGTGATGGGGAAGCATCACAGGTCCCTCAAAGCCTACATCGAGCTTTGCGCAGAGGTGGGTACCAGCACCACCCACTCCACAGTGAGTCCAGGCTCCCAAATCGTATGCCTTTAACACTGATTCTACAAAATTTAAAACCCAACCCAAACGCTCCCCTCACAATCAGGTTGGGTTTTTTTTTTTTTTCTTTCCTAATTTTCCTTTTAAGCCCAAGGATGAGAGGACTCAGGGCCAGTCTCCTTCATTCCAGCCCCACACAGTGCCATCCCTACCAGCATGGCAGACAAAAAGGCCAAACTCCTTTTAAAGCACTTTTTTTTTCTTTTTTTATTGATTTCATTGAAAACAGAACAAGAAAATGATCAGAGCCAAAAGACTGCTCCTTTAAAACTGTCAAAAACATTAACAGAAAAAAATAATAATAATAAACATGACGGCATTATGAATGTTCTAGAAGAGATGAACAAAAAAAACTGTTACTGCACTAATTACAGTATTTAAAGATATATGCAAAAAAAAAAAAAATTAAGATGACCTGCCCAGCCACCACACAAAAGGTGATGGCGAATTTATTCACACTACAATACTAACAATTTAAAAAAAGTTTTGTTTTTTTTCCTGCATTTTTATACTAAAATCACTTTGTTCTTTTTATACAATTGATAGTTTATATTCACGTGGTGAGCAAAAATCACACCAGAATCAGCACCGTTTTGTTTTGTGGTTTCTTTTTGTTGTCGTTTTGCCTTTTTTTGTTTTTTTGTGTTTTTTTTTTTTTCTTCTTTTTAATGCTAGTCCCCAATGTTTCAGTAATGGTAAAAAATAAATCAGTTTATTGAAACCTCATAGCGTGTAGCTTAAAAATTAATCGAAGGTGCCCAGCGTTGAGAAAAGTGATGGGAACAGACGAGCTGGTGGCATCTGGGATCTTCTCGCCGTGACATGTCCTGTCTGCTGTTCACCCCAGCTGGCAGACGCAAGTTGAGGTTCTCTATAATATATATATCATTCACTTTATTTTTAAAAAAAGAAAAAATGATTTTCTTAAGAAGTTAGTGTCTTGTACAATCCCCTTCAACCTTCCCTCTCTAAAACCGCTAATGCGACGGGGTGAGGGAAATCCTTCCACGGACAAACCGAACACTGAGACAGTAACACGGCCGAGTGGCGCAGACGAGAGCTGGTTTGTAACGGAGAAAGCCCGGGAGCGAGCGGGGTCTTAGGGGAAGCGTCTCTGGTCAGCTCAGGAGAGAGCCAGGGACCAAAGGGATTGTAAGGACTGTGGGTTTCTTCTCATCGGAAGAGAAAAAAAGCCAGTGGATTTGGTAACAAGGAGGGTATTTGTTAGAAATGCCCTCTAGCTCCTAGGGAAAGGCCCCACTGCAACGTCCTGCGAGATGTGGGAGAAATTAATGATGAAAAAAATAAAAACAACCAAAAAAACCAACCAAAAAACCAAACAAACCAACAAAAACCAACCAGCAGAACCTGCCCCGGGGCTGTGCCAAGCAAACTCAAACGCCAGCACCTCCCCCTCCCTCCCCGCTCCCCCCAGCTTTTAAAAAGAAAGTCCCATCAAGTATTCAAAGTTTATTACAAGTGAACTGGAGATGACTTGGCATGAGCGATCCATTCAATTAACAATAGTCGGAGGACGGGCGGCTCTCCCTTGGCTCTGACAACACTTAGCACATTAAGAGACGGAGGCCAGGACAGCTCGCATGGAAAAAAAATGCAACAGCCACCCCTCCACACGCAACTGTGAAAACCAGCAGCTTTCCAGGACCAGGGAGGGGAGAACAACATCACGGAGGTGGGATTTGCTTTTACTTATTCCTCAAGTAACAGTCGGTGGCACAGCCCTAAGTGTCACAAACCCTTGGCTTTCCTTGAGCGGGTGTTTTTTGTTTTTTTGTTTTTTGTTTTTTTCAGATTTTTTTTCTCTTTAAATGGAAATTCAGACAGTATGTGAATCTATAGGGTTAAAACAAGTCAGTCTCTGGGGAGCGAAGCCTCAAAAGGGGCCGGCTGCCGTGGCAGAGCTGGTGTCGGGGAGCCCGTTTTCCTGCGTGTCCTGGGACGAGGTGCTCGCCTGCCGCTGGGCCAGCGCTGAGCTCGAGTGTTTGCACTTGGGTGAACCGCACTGACAGCTGAAATATTTGCCTTTGATGTCCCAGAACCTGTCTCCGTAGTCAAAACTGCAAGAGAGAGACAAGAGATGGGGTCACCTGCAAAGCAGAAGCGCACGGAGCAAGACACCCAGGGTCAGCAACCCTCCGTGCTGCCACACTTCGGGTTTTTGCAAAGCTTCAGGGGGACGGGGAGTGTTTGAGGGGTCCCCAGGGGACTCTGGGGACGTGGCCTGGAGAGCAAAGGGATGGCGTGAAGCAGCTCGGGAGCAGCAGAGCTTTCATCTCTGCACTCCCCCCTTCCCCGAGCGAGGCGGTGGCTCCCACAGGAAGGGCAGCCCCGGGGACAGCACCCACCCGATTTCTTCTCCGGCTTCTATATGCCTCGTGCTGAAGAAGGCGATCCTGGGAAAGCGGAGGTCCTGATGCGACATGAAGACTCGCACCGGGATGAGGTTTGGCTCACAGAGGTGGTTTATAAAGCGGCTGATGTTGCCATAGAAACGGGCATCTATGCAGTACACCTCTCCATCCTAGAAGAGAAACGTTGCATCTTTCATTAGATGAGGTTGGGTTTAGTATTATTACCGCTACTTTTAAATAAAACAAATGACCAAACTATTGGTCATTCCACTAATACTCTATAGAGCTTCAAGAACAACCACCAGTGGGCAGGACACCCCCTGTGGTTTTAAAAGAGCTGAACACACACTACCCTGAAAATACAGCTTTCGGCATGGCACTGTGCCCCCACAAACCCAAAGACCTTATAAAATGCCCCTGACACTGACTGGCACAGCAGCTCACCCCAGCCCTGCTCTGCTAAAGCACCAGTTTGACCAGGGATAATGTTTGATGCAGACACCAAAGCCACTGGATAGGGGAACAGGCATCTGTTCTGTCCTCTAATCGAACACAACAGCTTGGAAACACAAAGCCAGAGCCTCAAGAAAACACGGGTTTCTGCAGATAAAAACAAAAGTGAGAAGACAGAAATCCCCTTTCCAGAGAGCCAAGAGAGCAGTAATATTTTGTTTTTCTTGAAAATAAAAGAACCCCCCTCAGGGATTTTTTATTCCAGCAGAGAATGACTGTGCAAAGCAGAGACTTTAATTACAGAAGCTAATTTCAGTTGCAAAGAGGCCAAAAGCAAAAGGATCCATTAGCAGTGCTCAAACTCCCTTTTGGGCAAGCACCTTGCAATTGTTAATGGATGAGCTGTGCCAGATCACGCCACCCAACTGGTGCAGGAGCCCAGGGAAGATGTCCCAACGACTGGGGGAGGTGTCACCCCACACGGTCCTTATCACATGGTGTTACCAGCTCTAATTTCAATTGTAATTCTCATCACCCCCTCACTTTCATCCATGGAAATGCCATGGCTGGTGAGGACAACATCACCCACTAGCACATCTAGTGACCATCTGGAAGGATCTGAGCTCTCCACCACGCAAGTCAAGATGAACGCATCTTCAAGAAAGGAGCCTGCTGTCTTGACCAACACGGGCAGCGTCCTCACTGCAAAGCTACTGAGGAGGAGAAGTCACAAAGCAAACTGCTTCCCACCTTGCTGCGGTGGTACTGGGAACTAAGAGTCACACAGTGGCAACCAGAGAGGAAAAGGAGAAACTGTGAACCTGCTCCGGGGTGAGATGAGTTTCCCTCTAAAAGAGTGGGAAGGCCCTGGGGTTTCTCAGAAGGGAGGCTGCCCGGTGGAAGCCCTTCTGGCCTGCAGGCAGGCTGGGGTCAGCATGCAGCCCCGACCGCTGCCTCTCCTCACAGCAGGGCCAAGTGTGCGAGCAAGGACTACAGAGCATGAGCCTGCACATGGACAAGGGGCGGCTGAACATGAACAGAAAGCAACCACAGCAGCTAGAACTCAACTCCGTCTGTCCCAGAAATAGCATGGTTTTTTCCATCTCTCTAGTACAGAGACGAGAAAACCATCTCTTTAACCAGTGGAAGCTCAGGGAGCATCTGTTGTGCTATGTCTTCCTCCTGGGAACCCAGCAACGGCAGTGAGTTTTGGCTCTCTGATGTTTGCCCTTTCAGACACGGAATGGGATGTGCCGGCAGGACCTGGCATACGGAGCGACTCACCAGCCTGGAGGGACAACTCAAAGAACAGGGACCACAGAAATGACGACCCAACCACTCTCACTACAGCACAAGCCCATTCAGGCTGCTCCTCCGGACCCCAGGGCTGCCCCTACCAGGGTTGGGGTTCACACCCTTAGTGACTTCCCATCTCTCGGGAGGCCACAAGACCCAGGTGGCTCTGCCCTGCCCTCCTCCGCCCAGCCCGACAGGCTGCTTCTAATGATCACTCCATGACTTGGTGCCTGGTTTTCTACAGATGCTCCACTTCGAAGACACCCCGAAAAAAGATGATGCTTATGCCTGTATTTAGGTCTCCCTCCTTGCTTCACAGAAGGCTTCACAAGAGCCTCAAGGCAGCTGGCCAGGGGCTAACCTAAAGGCAAGGCAAGGCCCAGGTAGGCTTTTGCTCATAAATGCACAAACCTAGCTGAAGTCCCTGCTGCTTTTCAACTTCTTAATTACCGTCTGACCCCACTGTTTTCAGACTGACTACAAGACTCGTTACTTACCTTTTTTCAGTTGTTGAATGTGTGTCACTTTAAAAATAAAAAAGGAAAAAAAATAAAGCAAAGCTCCTTTGTCACCACTAGCTGATGATAGAAAAAAGACTGTTTTACAGCCTTCCTTGGAAGCCACCCCACTCCTCTGAGTCCTCAGCTCACCTTTCTCCTCTTCTCCTTTCCCAAGGGAAGTCTGAAGGGATGGTCTTGCTTAAAAGCTTTATATCACACTTTTCAAAGCAAGATTTCTGCTCTGAGAAAACCCTCCACACAGCAGTGCAGGATAACTACCAGCAGAACAAGCCTCAAGTACTGCCACAGTATCTGATGGATCCCTTTATAAGTGTACATTATTTTTTTCTTTAGTATTCCAGCTCATCTTTTTATGAAAAACTTAGGGAGCTGCCAGTCAACACAGCTGCAAGCGTGCATGTACTCACTTGAGTATCAAAAACTGAACTCAGGATGCCCAAACGGTTTTGACAGAAGAGCATCTTGCATCAAAACTGGTGTGGGCAGCACATATCGCAGTGCCCCAGCACTGCTGGGCTCTGTTACCATTTTAACAAGCCCTAAGCCCTACCTCAACTGCTCTGTATTTTGACTAAAATGCAGCGAGGGTGTAGTTCTGCTCTTTGCAGGCTTTCAGATCATGCCGTACATCAAGATGGAGACAAACATTTTCTTTGTTTTTTTTGCAGAGGCAAGACCTTGGGTTTATCTCATTAGACACCTCCAGATACAGTACCTTGTTGTCAAGGTCGAAGAGGTAGGAGTCTTCTTCACGGACATCTGCCTCGGAATCAGATATCAGCTCACCAACGTACCTGTGGACAAACAGGAAAGGCAGAAATAAGTTGCTCACGCAAGCTTGGGTTTAAACATCTCTTTCTGGGAAACGGGAAAGAAAGGGATAAAGCCTTAGTAGCACAGGTCATCTCAGAGCCAGCCAGACAAACTGAGCTTTGCCAACTTACAACAGCTAAAATCTGGCTCCAAACTCCGTCTTTTCAGGGCTACACTTTCAATATTAAAAATGGAGTCTTACTTTCAACAAAATTCACTTTTTCCTGAGGACTATGCTTCCTTTTGCAAATCTCTTTGTTGGCCAAGATCAACACATTAATCCAATTCTCCTTATGTTCATGGTCAGACTTATGCCCTGGCTCTCCTATACACCACTGCAGTGCTTGTGCTGTTTACATCTGAAAGAAAAATATTTGTCTCTGTCCTTCCTGTATTTTCCAGGGTATTTTGACTGATTAGATAAGCTACCTACATTAAAAAGTTTTGTTTTAAAAGTTTTAGGTCTAACCTAACCTGGCAGGATCCTTGGAAGGATCTAGGCTTCTTTCGCAATCCCCCTCAAAGCAGAGCTGTGATCCCAGTAACAACCACCCTGTTGCAAAAGCAGGTGCAAGGCGGATTACAACCAGGTCCTCCAAGCACTCCAAGCACTGCTTGGCCCGGCTTGCTGAGAAGGACTAAGCACACGTACCACCTTTCTCACCCAGACAGATGCTGGTTTTGATACAAACTCCCTTGTTGCAGGAGTTCTCACTGCACTGGTGTCCCCACATTTGTCTCCCTGTCTCCATCTTAAGAGAGTTTTGGACTGTCAAGGTTCAACATTTCCTGCCCTGCCCTGCTTGCAATCAAAGGGAGAGACACAACAGGAAAGGAACTGAGTCACAGGGAGGATATGACAACAGCACAGTGGATTCTGGTATGTAAGTCTTCCCGCCCTGCAATACAACACTAATTAATTATAAGCAAAGAATTCACAATATGAATAAATATTCTTCACAGCATCAATGGAGACTTCCACGATCAGCAGCCACAATCACATCATTCCTCCGCAGCTCTCAAGGCATTTCTGAAGTGTTAACCAGCCGTACCCATCTCCCCCCGTGGCTCAAGGCAGCATTTAACTCCAGGGCTGGGGAAGAGAAGAGCCACGAAACATTAACGTGGAGAGAACCCCCGCGCTCCGTGACAAGGGATCGCTTGGCTGCAGTTCCCAAATCTGAGTGATCTGGCAAGTTGAGCTGCCAGAGCAGGAGGCTGCCACTGTGTGTGATCTTCCTGTTTGCCCCCACTGCATCTTGTTATTTATTAAGTGCTCCCATAAGGCTGCGGCATTACTGGAAATCACACGCTCGTCGGTGACCTAAAGCAATAGGAAGATGATGGCCAGAAAGGGAGAGAAATTGCTGTAGCATGGCACGGCAGTCAGCAGAAGCTGAGAAAAAGCTGAATAATGCTGCACGGAGAGGCACTCTGCTCAGGGACAGCCACTTCAGGTTTACAACTCAGTGAAACAAGAAAACACAATTAATTAAAAACTGTTGGTTTGTTGTTTCTTTAAAGACTATTCCTGTAACTCAATTCCTTTCCAGCACTGCTTAAAGATACAAATGGTTCCCACACTTCCAGTGTCCAAAGTTATGGAAAGATGTGCAAGAGACATTCCTATCCAAAAAAGAGCAGGAGCATCAGCCTCTTCATTTAAGAACTCCCAAAGTCAAGCCAGCATCTTTCTTCTCAGCATGCTGATGGCAAGTAACTACACTTCAGAGCTTTACACTGCCACTCATCACTGCAAGATCAGAGCACACTCCATGCAAAAATCAAGAGCAACAAGAAGTCTCTAGCACAGGCTCCAGTGTTTTCCACAGCATGGGGGACAGGACACCTGGGGCTTCTCTGGCTGAAGGTGTGGCTAAAATACCTGGTTCGATGCAGATGGTATCTTATTAGAATATCACTGTTTTGTACAGAAACAAAATATCTGAAACCCACGTAATGGACGTGCAGTGAAAGGAAAAGGATCAGATCCTCACAAACCTCTGGTTTCTGCATCCCACTAATTCAGAGCCTCTCCAGCAAAAGCCCTTAACCAGCTGTGCCACTTCCAGAATGAGCAGCTACACTATCTACCAACCAACCACGAACAGAGCAGATTCAGAACAACCCACAGCAATGTCAGGACAGGGTGAGCAACAGCCATTTCTAAGAAGTTTCAAATTTGGAGGTCAGCGAGAAACCTGCACACGAGCACGCTCCTGAGCATCTGCGAGCAGAAGAGCCTAAAAACTCCATGGGAGCCCAGCAGGGCAGGGAGGCTGACACTGCTGCATCCTTCCTCACTAAGCTGATGCTTCCAGGACCATGCTGAAGGTACTGGAGGCCATTAGTTGGAGGCTCTGGAGCAGCTGAAGGGTCTGGGGCAGCTGAAGGGTCTGGGGAATCTTGGTGATGACAGTGGGAGGGCTGGCTGGCCATCGCACTGGTCAAGCCTCACTCCCAGCTGCCAAACTGCTCTGAGCACTGCTAAACGCTCCCTGCAGAAGCTGCTGCGGGCTGCCAGAGGGGCAGCCTGCAAGCAAAAACAGAAAGGAAAAACATTTTTGGAGTGATTACAGAGAGAAGTTGAAAGGTGTCTGAAGTATGGAGCAGCGGGCCGAAAAGCAGTATGTGTGTAAGAAAGGCATTTACACACAGAAAGAGTCAGGACCAGTAGAGTTTTGCAAAATAAAAGTGTTGTGAGAATTACTCCAGATTTGCCCCCCTCTACAGGTATATGTGAAAAATTATGGAACACAAGTCATCCTTACACCAATACAACTATCCTTCCAAAGTAGAGTAATAACCCCTGTACAAAGAGACAACTTGCTCAGGGCTCTAATCCAGACATTTAATGCAAAATGCTCTTCCACAAGAGCCAATCCTTGGAGCTGCTGTGTGCAAGCAGCCCCTGAGTACTGCCAGCACATGGGCTTCTTTGCCAGAGAGGAGGAAAAGAAGAAAACAAGTCTATAGGTTGCACGTAAAGACTCACAGGAAGGACAGCAGTGCAGCTGGCTAGGGGAAGAGAGAAGGACTGGAGCTGGTGAGCTGAGTAAATAACATGTGTGCGTGAGAGTGATGGGGACAAGGAGGAACATGTACAGGCAAGACATAAATTAGCTCTAATTTTTAGTATGCAGCTCATTTAGATAATGAAGAAGATAGTGCCTACCACTGAAACAGTGTCAGCAGCTCCTGGCAAGGGTGGAGGGAAGAGTTAGTGTGGTTGTGGTATCTGAACCCTATCAGCTCTGATGTGCTGCACAATGTGTCTGTCTGTGTTACTTATCCTCTGTTTCCTTGGGCTGCCTGGTCCCCACTGCTTATTCATCTCGTGTATTAGCATTCCATTAGGATTTAGTTAAATTGGTGCCTTTTTTGTTTGGGAGCTGTTTGCTCCCAGGCTCTGGCTCATCTCCGGATCCTGAACCAGGACACCAAGACCTTTGGTACTTAACAGGAAGCCCCACCTGCAGACAGACTTGAGACGCTCCCCACAAATTGCAGTTTCAACCTTTACCTCTGAAAAAAACATTTTATCATTTGGCAGCTCCTCACATGGAAGAAATACTTAGCCAATTCACTGCAGAGTTTTCTCTTCCTTTTTTTTTAATTCTGCCATAATTTTACTTAATCCCCTGCCCCAATTCTATAAAACATCAGTAACTGGTTCTAAAACACTCCAGCACCTATTTTCCTGAAGGGCACAAGTCCAGCACTATTTAGGTCTTCACTCACTGTGGCATTGCAATCAAGAAAACACTTTCCAAAATTTTTAATAAAGTACATATACCACTTTAAAGCCTAAAAACTGTGGGGTTCAATGGCAGTTTTTTCATTTGCCATAAATCTGAACATTTTAGTTCTCGAGTACTTTATCGAATCAGCACCGAAACATGTGCTTAACACCAAGTGCTTCACTGTTTTGCTGAATCAGACTAAAGCCAGAGAGCTCTGACACTGGAAAACCTCTTGAGAAGTCAGTACTGAAGCAGAAAAGATCTGATATAAAAAAGTTGTTTCAAATTGCCTTGGCCTTAAGTGACCATATCCACAGTGAACACATGAGTTGAGCATATCTGTAGCACAACCCAAATGCATTCTTCCCCCATCACTTGTGTATCAGAGGGGTAAAAGAGAGCTGAGAATATAAACCAGCAAGACAGAGAGGTGTGGAGAAAGCTCCACGCTATGAGGAAAAGGACAAACTGCAGGACATGGAGTCAGGAAACCTCTGACTGAGGACAAGCAGCTCGGCTTGATGTCAGTTATATTTCTGTGAAAATCTCTCCTTAGAGAGGAGCAAACCCTCCCGGCCCTTGGGAAGCCATGTGTTTGCATAAGCTAATGAAAGCTGAACAACTTACTCGCACACAAAGGTTCCCAGTGGAATGTCTTGCATCGTTCGCACACCCCAGCCCATCTTTTGTGTCCGATAAAGCTGCAATCGAGTCCTGGAAAAGAGGAAATGAAGCCATGTTAGTAGCAGCACTCCACAGAAAAACAACGAATTTTCATAGAGAGATAAGCAAAACATCCAGAAACCTTCCACCACCACAAACTCAGAGTTGATTTCAATATTCAACCACCCCAGTTCTCACGCTGACACCACTGTGGGTACGCTCCACTCCCACGGCTGCCCTGAGCACGTGGGCAGATGCTGGGATGGAAACTGCCTGGGGACAAGGGACAGGCACCCACCAACCTCTTCTCCCTGCCCAGCTGCACCTTGCAAGGTGCACACCTAGGGACTGAGGAAGAGGGTATGGGACTGGATGCTCTGTGTGGTTATGCCATGGATTTACACGTGGGACACCAGTATCCCACCAGCAGCATCTCCTTTCCCTTCCATGCACACCCCCAGCGCTCAGGGGAAGGCAGGGAAGGTGGAAGGTGCAGCTCTGCAGGGAGGGGTGCTGCAGGGGGGAGGCAGGGAGTTTACGGTGAATGAACACCTTGAGCTAAGTGCGCCAATCCCTTTGCCCTCTGCTGAGGCTAGTGCATTTAGCAACTCTATCATATCCAGCTCCCTGGCTGAAAGACAAGGAAGAAACACTGCAACTTGAAACTTCTTGGTGTAATAGCTGCTCTGTGGAATTTTACTGATGGGAGTTTATAGGCAGAGAAACAATCCTGTAAGTCATTCTGCCTCCTGCTCAGCCAGAACTTGAGTTAAGTGCAGGATGAACATTTTCCAGGGCTAGGGAAGGTTTGCTCCATCCCTGAGGGAACCAAAACCCACTCTCAGCAATGCTGTTATTGGCATAAAGAGAAATCCGATGCTCACCTTAACGTCACACTGTTGCTTTTTCCAGTACTTCTCTCCTCTTCACCCACCCATTCCCTCTTTGCACTGTCAGCTCAAACCAGGGGCTGTGCATATTCTCATGTTTGCTCACAGCCCCTGGAGCCTTCATCAGGGCTAAACATGACTTCACGAGAACAATCACTCTGGTTATAACACTGTATTTCAGGCTGGAGAAAGCTCCCCCATGTTTTGCCTCGTCCATCACGGCAGAGCAGAGAGCCAAGCTCAGGTTTAGGCTCCGATCTCAGCTTCCCAGCTGAGGTGGGTCAGCCTGCCAGATGGAAACATATGCGCTGCCGAGCGGAGTTAATTTGGAGCAAATCTGATAAAGGAAGCACTGAAAGTGGAGCGGGAGCACCCATGTGTCACACTGCAGCCCAAATGCAGGAGGTTTCCTCCACCATCTCCCCAGGGACCTTGTGCACAGCTCTACCAAGCACCCGACCTTACCGCCAGCTTCCAAACAAAGCTGCTCTCCCAAACTCATGGCTGGGTTTCCACCCTTCCAGTCTTTCAGAGAAACACTTTAGCAAGGCAAAAATGCAAAAGCAACAGCTCCTAAATAAACACCCACATAGACACCGGAGCTCTGGAGCTTGGCAGCAAAAACCAGAGAGAGGTAAAGTTCTGTGGAAACACATCGAGCTTTTTCCTTACTTATTTTTAACATTGCAAAATGTCACTGAAACTACAAAGCTTGCAAAAAAAGTTTTGTCAGTACTACAAAAAATTTGCAAAAGTATTTTTTTCCAGTGGAATTCCTTTGAACTTAGTGCAGCGGCAAACTTCTTCATAGCAGAGGTCCAAAACAAGACATTTACATTTTTAGGCTGGCACCAAAATCCAAACAGCCTAATCTGCACTGCCAAGGCCAACAGGTATTCAGGTATCTGATTCAGGAGGACTCATGCCAATGAGTTGGAAATTTTAAGCAGCCAAGTCTGGGTATGCTGGCCTATATTTCTAATATAGACTGCTAACTTAAAAGATCTTCTAAATTAAGGCTTTGCAGTTTCTGTTGCTGTTATTTTCTTCACAGATCTCCACCTCAGAAGTTACATATAGGCTGTTCATGCAAACCCACAAACCATTTATATATTTCATGGTTGAGCTGATGAAAGAACGCCACAGTTCCCATGTGATGGCAACGGGGGGAGTGCAAATATTAGCTGAGCTCACCAACCCCCTGCTGCTTCATTCTCACCGGCACCACACAGGAACCCACTTGCATCCCACCACTCTGCAGCGGCACCTGCCCCAACTTCTGTCTCATCTCGGGAATTCCTGGGGTTTTGTGGGTTTACAGGTGAGCAAAACTAGAGAGCCAGAAAGCTCATGAGTTTAGTGTTGGTCTTGCCAAGATAAGCTGCATTTAGATCCTCCTTCTCACCTGAGCCCATTCTGCACCACCCGGTTCCTACAGGTTCGCCAGCACGAGCACGCATGATTACACTCAAAGATCAGTGGTGGCTCAGCCATGTTGAATTCAGGCAGGAGTCGGCCGTCCTGAAGAGGAAAGGCATTCAAGAGTGGGTTAGTTGTCTGTTCTTGTGACCCCTCCAAATCAGAGGCAGGCCAAGAGCAGAAATTCACCTGAGTGTAGAAACAGGCCAGAGAACCCCAAGGTGGAGGCATGCCCTGACCTCCCCAAAACCAGCATCAGACCTCAGCTTCTGCAGTGGTTTTGCTCTATCCAACAGTGGCAAACTCACCAGTATCACTGACAGCTGACAAACAGCAAGAGACTGGCTAGATTTTTGCTGCCTGGCATCACCCTACTCACCACAAAAAAAAAAAAAAAAAAATCCTACAGTGCTGTGCAAAAAAACGGTGTGCATCATCACTATTATCATTTTGCAGTGCTGGAGGGGAGAAGCAGATGCTTAGTCTGTCTCTGGAATAAAGCCTAAACTTCCAGAGTACAAGGCCAGTATACCCAAATTCTTTAATACACCACATTATCTTCCCAAACAATACTTCCCAAAAAGCTACAATTCCATTATTTACCAACCGTGTAGGATTAAGGAAGTGACAGACGCAGTTCATCATATTTAACAAATTTGGCTTTTAAGGCTTGAAAGATGTAATCACCTATTAAGGCATAAATAAAATGGCTACAAAGGAAAGAAAGATGCCAATATTCCCCCTGGGAGAAACTTGCAGAGATTTACAGAACTTCTGATCTTAGCAGAACCTGTCCAAATATTAACCTCAAAACCTCCCTGGAGGACTGAAGCATCCTTACCCAAACCAAACCAGGCTTCTGGCAGTGTTGCAGTTAAAACATCTTTACTTTGCCTTCATCCAGAAGGATCACAATAAATAAAAGCACACAAAAAAAAGGAAAAATCTCTACTACCCTTTCCTTGTTTACATATTATAGCATTTTCTGTGTTGCTCTGAAATGGAAGCTGATTTCACGCATGGATTATTAAGTGCTCTCTGTCACACGGGTATAATTAATGGCTCAGTTGGCATGACAGTAACACAAATAAATAACACTAGAAAAGCTTCCCTGAGTATGCATTTTGTTATTATCACCTGGAGCTTAAAGCTGAGACTACAACTTTAGGCATTTTAAAACAAAAAGTAGAGGAGTTGTGCAAGGAACTGTTTTTAAGGTACTACTATAAATCCCGAATTGTGCAAAGTTCAGCTCGCAAACACTGTTCTAACCCAACAGGAGGTTCTGTGTCCTCACCTTATCATACCAGCAGCGCATACTGAGTTGGCCACACATGCAGTTACTGGAGGAGCAGTCATCTATACATACACAATACTGGAAGATAAGAAAAGGGATTAATGCCACACCACACACACATCACTGAAAGAACAACTTCTGTGACTGGCTCAGAGAGGAAAGCACAAGTCTTCACCTCCTGCTGCAGCTCGTTAGCCAGAAAGATAACCAGCCTCATCAGTTCAGTGGCATTTTTACTGCATTATTTATTTCTGTGTGCAGTGAACATTAAACGAAGGACTCTGGCTTGCAGGAGAGGATCTCTTACAGAGCCACCTTCGTTTCTCATGAGAGGATGTCCCCCTGTGTTACTAACCTTCCTCCATGCCCTATGAGCTGTACTCCACACTTGAGGACAAGGAAAGATTCAAGGAAGGACCAGAGCTGGGAGACGATGCAACATGATGTCTCAGTCCTTCCCTGCTGCTTGCTTCTTCCCACACAGGTGCTCCAGCTGGCTGCTTCCCCAGCGCTCCCCAAGCCAGCACAGTCCCACCACCAGCTGCTGCACAACACGGCTTGGGCATGGGACCTTCACTTCAGCCTCCTGAGAGTTGTGACCAGAGGAAGGTCACCCTGACCCTATGCTTCCCCCACCTCTGCTTTCACAACCTGGCCCTGCGAGAACTACCAGTAGCACAGTGCAGACCTTGGCCACGATGCTGCAGTCAGTAGGAAGACGGCACGAGGAAGGTCTCCTAACAACTCACTAACTCTCCGGATACACAACAGAGGAAAAGGATGAACAGGAGCCACATCAGCCAGCACCAGATGACTGATGCTACAGCACACAGCTCAACACAGAGGTTAGCTTAAGTCTCGGAAATGAAGAAAAACAAACTCCTAGTGCAAGAGCTGGAGTTTAGGACTACAGCCTGGAATCTGATGGCAGTATTAGGGGTAGACAACCCCATCTTGAAAGCAAAACTTATTCTGAGGTGCAGTGCACTGCAGCATCACTGAATGTAGACAACCGGGACAGGAAAAAACATGTGGATACACACAATCCCTCACCTGTAAATGAGTGATGTTTCTATCAATGTCCATTGGGGAGGTGACACAGTTCTGTGAAACATATTTGTAGTTGCTAGGACAAGGCTCACTGTCCACTGAATTGACGCAGGGAATCGGGATCCGCTCATAACCCCGGGCGATGTCTCTGTTAGTGGGAGAAAGAGAATTGTCACAGAAGAAAAGCTCTCCCCCCCCCCCCAACCATTCAGATGCCATCCTGGGGCAGAATTACTGTCTTTGATCACAAGCACTCAAAGCCTGAAAGCAATTCAGGCTAGAACAGAGTTCATTTTTTTCCACCCTGCCTTACAGATTGTTCTTTGAATATTTCCATTCAGAGAATGAATTTACAAACCATGGTCTGAATCAGCATGTGCTTAGTTTTTGCTAAGCTCAAACTGACCTTCACACCAGTTTAAAAAGCTAAGCGTGCACTTACGGTCCCTTCTTAAACCAGGCCCCCAGCATTCCCCGTGAAAGGGCTCTATTTCATGACCCACAAGCAAAGCCAGCTGTAATCTCACCTGCTCACGACCTTCTCTATCTGGGCAGGCTTGTCAGCGGATGATTCTTTGAGAGTCTTGTTCATCTGTAGGGCCACCCAGACCTGAGAGTTAAGGCTGGAGCACTGGAGCGGAGTCTCACCCTCCTTGTTCTTTAAAGTGACATCCGAGCCACGGGAAAGAAAGAGACTGCAAAACAGCAAGAAAGGATAAGCAACCCCCAAGAGAAACTGCGCAAGGGGAAAATGAGCTGAATCATATCCTCCAGCCAGCCCTCAAGGGACAAGGAAGAGTCTGTAGTAGTGAATAATCACCTGAGTTTTCTTTATTAAGCATGGTTCAGTGAATCCTTCTACGTGAAGGCGCTGGCAGAAGCCACAGACTGGAGCTCTAGGCACTCACGAGAGCTCCGGGCAAACCTCGCCTTGCTTCAGGCATGACAGGTACCTTGCTGGTACCAGCCTAACTTCACACAGGCTTGAAACTCTTTCTGGCGGGGAAAGATATGGGGTGGAAGAGTAGGCTGGAAATGGAAGAGTCCTACGGGAAACTAGCATTGGACTTGGCCCTTGCTTATACTCACCAGCTTCTGGTGACTACACATGATGACCTTATTCACAGCAGTGATGAAGCAAAGGAAAAGCCCTGTTACCATATTATGCCATGCTAGTTGTGAAAATAAAAAAAAAGCTTTAATCAAAGATGCCTGATGCCTTTCTGCTGGGAAGCTCAGGCTGAGCACAGCCCCTCAGGTCCTCTGCCAGAGACTCCAAGACCACTCCACATTTTCTCATCTTTTTTACACCAGCTCTGATATTTCAGACCCACCACCCCGAGGAGTAAGGCAATGGAGAAACAAGACCTCCATCCCAGTTTTGGTCTGTGCTTAAATGCCAAAGGTATTTCAAAGGATCTCCCGAGATTGCCAGCCAGCACCCAGATAGGAAGGAGTGGCCAGGGGAAAGGAGAGAAGTGGCAGGGCTGGAGCCGTACTTACACGACACACTCGTAGCGGTTCTCTCTGGCTGCAATATGCAGGGGTGAGTCCCCGTGAATATTCACGGCATGTAAATCACACTTAGCAGCCAACAGTATCTCTGCTATGTCAACACAGCCAGAAAAAGCAGCCCAGTGCAAACAAATATTTTCCTCCTGGAGGGAAAGAAAACAGAGTAGAGGCTGTTTAGTGCATTAAAACCCGATCGCTTTGGGACTTCACCATCCTCAGCTCTACACCTGCAGCATGCAACATGTGGCTAGCAGTCTCCTTCCCTACATTGTTCCTTCTGGCTGGGACTGCCAGGATGGGCAGGGAAATCTCCACGCAGACAAACAGGGAGTTCTCACTCCAGCCGCCTCCGCACACCAGAGAACGGGAGGCTGCACACAAAGCGGTCCATCGCCTTCCTTATAGACGCAGGCAAATCGTCTGTCTCTAAGGCACAAAACAATCTGGATCAATCCACGAGAGAGGTGACAGACATGAACAAACATGCTGGAAAAGGCTAGAAGCTGATCTTCCCCAGCCCAGACAGACAGGGAAGCTAGCACATCTCCCAGTGCTACAAAATTAAAGAGAAGAGCACAGCACAAGCTATAGGGTATATGAAGGTGCTAGAAAGTGAACCACGAGCCACAGGTAAAGCAATCAATCTGACTTCAGGCATCTCTTAAATACTGTATGTACTCATCTCTCACTAGCAGCACTAGAAATAGCTGAACACTCATCTTTGGGATGGAGATATTTTAAGCGATGATACTCTTGTTTTCTGTTACAGTGCAATTTGCAGCACACTTTGAACCCTTCCCCGTGACAAGCTCTAAAGACATCGATTACAACAGTGCAATGATAGCAATGATCACCTAACTTTTCTTTTTCCTTTTTAAAGCAAAATTAAAGCACATCTTTTAGTCATTGCAAATTAACTTAGATCCTTCCTTAAATGGGGAGGCTATTAACATACACTAGGGAGTGGGGAGACCTTTTTCTCTATGGATTCTGCCTCCCATTATGATAACATCTAGAAATAAAAACCCTAATCATATCACATACCAATCTACAGAAAAAAATTAATCCTGACAATTGCACAGCACATGCTGCTGCTCAGACAGGTTACAGACACCTAGACTCGCTACTTTGCCTTGCATCGGCTACTGCCTAACAGCAGCATAATTACAATCAAAAGCATTTCTCGCTGAGTATGGTGTTTCCCAGCACAAGTGACATTGCTTCTTAACAACTGCAATCAGGAGACACTGAACGAAGGTACAGTAACAGATATGCAACACATATATCTGCTAAGAGGATACTTTTCTTTCAAGTAAATTGTTGACTGAGCTGATTTGATTTTCATCATTTAATGTGTGATCTTGTAACAGCCAAAAGGCTTCTGTGACAGATCAAACAAGTCAGTTTTGCTCGGACTCTAGGGCTCTGAAGCAGTGTAACAACCCAAAAAGCCCCCTCTCTCACCTTGACTTCTGCTTTTAGGAACAGTATCAGATCTGGGCCTGCCTGGGAACTATTTAAGCTACCAAAGAAATGAGGCTCCTACCAAGAAGGGGCTTTCAGACTGGGGATGGTGACTCCGCAGCAACACCTGGATCTTTCTAAGACCCGTAAGACAAGGATGCCAACACCTACCCCTGCTAGCACCCAAGACACAAACCAAAGAGTTTAGGGAGACAAATACAAACCAGCTGCTTATATCCCTTGATTAAAAAAGCACTAAGAGCCTTGGACAAGAAAATATCCTGCCATGAGGCATGCTAGAGTGTGAACTGATGGCAGGGTAGGTACTTCACTGCAACACCTCTGGGCAGAAAGCAGTGAAGCCAGTTAACCTTCCTTTATCAAACTATCTCACATCTATGGGCCAAAGCCTGGAGTAGCTCATTGCATCACAGTTCACACTCAAGCTTGACTTGCAGGTACTTCTGAGGTTTCAGTATCCTTAGAGACAAAAAGGAAAAAATAAAAACATACTATTAAGAAAAAAAGGAGCAGTGTTGATATAATGAGTCTCCTCAACAGAAACATGGATGACTGGGGAAAAAAGGAGACAGCATCTCCCTTGTATATTCTCTGCTTACTTGAAAATCCCCGTGAAACTGGCTGGCACAGCCAGATACATAGCGCTGCTGGGCCCACGGAGCTCCCAGGGACTCAAGTACAGAGTACATCCCACTCGAGCAGGATTTACAGAGGTGAAGAGCAGGCCAAGAGCCAGCTCCAGCATGCTGAGCTGCCAGCCTGGGCACACTCTGTCCACATTGGTGGCTACATGCCTGTTATGACTAAGAAAACCCAGGCTTGTAGTACTTGCTGGCAGAGCATCTGCCCAATCTATCCAGAAAACACGAGCACAAGCTTATGCTCCTCAAAAGGCACACAGGATGCCCCTAAACCATGCCCAGTGCACACTGGCCTGTGACCAATGCAGACCAGGTAAGTCTGGACTCAAGGGGGATCTGCCTGGTGGCAGCACAGTAGACCCAGGTGGATTAGAAGCAGCAAGGCACAGAGCTGCCTGCAATATTACGTACAGCATCCTTATGGGCTATGCTGGAAAAGCTGGAGGAAAAGGGACTTGTCAGCCTGTAAACTTCTTCCCAGAATGGAAAATTCTCCCAGTAGACACTGTTCAGTCACTGCCCCAAACCACCTGTGTCAAGGGACCACCGCACCTCCCTGCACTGAGCCCAGAATCTGCCTCCCTGGGCTTGTTTGGTCTTTAAATTGTGGTTAAAGAAATTGTGGTTAATTTCTGAAATAGATTCCAGGAAGAACCTTACATTGTCACGGATGTTGATGTCTGATCCCTTTGCAAGCAGCAGCTTCACAAGCTCAATATGCTTGTACTCGGTGGCCCAGATCATTGGCGTCCAGCCTCCGTCGTCCTGAGGAGGGAAAGGAAAGGGTGAGACAAGCAGAACTGGCAAGTCGGTCTCCTGCTGGCTTCACAAACCCCTCGGCAGCCACAGCAGGGAGCACCTTGCCTGAGAGCCACAGATCCCTTCCCTCCCCAGGTCTGTCTTATCACTCTCCTTGTATCTATGCTGGTGCAGGGAGAGGTCCCTCAGGGTCCTGCAGAGCCCAGAGTGACTGGAACCAACACACCTCATTAGGCTGGAGTTTGGGCATGACTGTCCAAAAGGCACAACGAACACCCAGGTCGTGTAAAAGTTCTTACAAAAGCTCCCTGAGAAGCCTGGGGGAGCTGGCCCTCACCTGGAAGGAGGAACCCCAAAGCAGTGCTGCCTCACCCTGTGGCAATGGACAAGCTCTGGGATGGCGAGTGCCAGGCTTGATCCATCCCACAGCATGTCCATGATCCCAACACCACCTGGCTAGGAGGGGCACAGTAACACCCTTGAGCAACAGGCTCCACCAGCAAATTCATGGTCAAGGAGAAGTTGAAAATGGAGGCATGGAGAAGGAAAGTTTCCATGAGGTCAGTGGAGGGGATTGCCTTCTCTGGCAGACCGGGATGCCCATGGTACTCTCGCCCTATAATGTTTTCCAGGTGCCCCCCAGCAGCAGGACTGTTATCTGAGTAACCTCTGTGCAGACAACGCTGCTGAAACTTGGGTCCTTGACCTGCGCAAAGCAGCTCCTGCCCCTTGCAGGAAGGTCTCACCTGGCAGTTGACATCCATCTTCCCGTTGGAGAGGAGGTACTGAACAATGTCATAGTGCCCCTTCTTGGCAGCCAAGTGCAGACACGTGGAGCCCTCCGCGTCCTGGACACAACCACAGAACAAGCACTCAGGGGACATCCCTTCCCAGCATTTCCCATGTCTGCACAACACCAGTGATGCTCAGGAACAACAGAGAAGTTCACAGAGGACTCCAAAAGCACCCAGCCCACTACCAGGAGGGGAGAGATCAGCAGCGACCAACATCAGCACTGAGCAGAGGGAGCTTTACACAAAGCTCAGAGGTGCAACCCATGCAGAGTAGGAGACTGAGAGTGCAAAGGCTACAGAAAGAGATGCTTCTGCAAAGCCTAGGGAAGGTACCAGCCCCAAACCCTCACAGACTGATGTTCCCCTTCCCCAACAGACCCTCTCCAACCCTTCTCCATGTGCTGAGAGCCAACAGGAAGCACAAATCCCTCGCAGAGGCAGAGCTTGCATGTTACATCAGAAAAGCAGCCTTGTCTCAATCTGAAATGCTCCGTTTATACAGTTCTTATGATGTGTTTTATTAGCACAAGGCCTTATTCCAGCACCTGGCAGCAGGGCAAAGGGGTGTCCTGCACAAGGGCTAGAAGCCTCCTGAGAGACCAAGTCTCCAGCATGCCTGCAGCCATCTGCTGAGATAGGAAATAAAAAAAATAAACCCATGAAGGTTGAAAGGAAAAATGCCTTTGGGAGATGAGAATACAGGATCTGGTGGAGATGGACAGGCTGTGAGTCATGGCGGAGACACTCCCACACTAACACCAAGGATCTCAGCGGCTGGAGCTTGATTTTTATCAGGCATTTATATCCCAAGAGCTTAGCACAGAGCAAGGCCCAGAGACCAGGAAATAAGGAGAAGTAAATGAAAGACTGAAAACCAAAATGACTCCTTCCAGCTAAACCCCTGGAAGCAACATCGGAGGTGAGGGCTTTTGGATGGAGCTGAGCGGAGAATGTGGCACAGGGCTAGGGAGCAACCCTCCAAGCAAGGATGGGACATCTACGGTCAGGGATTACACTGTGTGGGCTTCTTGGGGTAAAGGTGAGGTTTCTACACCCCTGTAAGTGCCTGTCACATCTGAATAATGCCACAGCTTTCCCCTTAGATAAGCATGAGCCAAGTGCAGCTTCTCAACCCTATGGAGAGCAGACATATTTTAATATAAAGTTTCTGCAGGTTTTGAGTGGGGCTTTTACATCCTATTAACAGGACCAACAGCTTCACCCTGCGGCCTGAGAAGCCCCCACCCACCCCACCACTGTCCTCAGCATCCCCTCGGTCCCGCAGACCTGCAGGGCTGGGCTGGGCAGGCTTGGCACCCGCCTGCAGCAGTTAATGTCCAGATTTCTCATTGAAATCACTGGAGCTGATTTTAAACTGCAATGTTGCTGCTTTCAAAAAGATGACTAATCTGGTGCAAGAAACTAATTAACATAATAAACTAGGCTAGACTTCAGACGTGATCTCAGGCTTCTAATTTGCTTTTGCAAGCTCAGGATTTTTTTCCTTTCCTTTACCTTTAGAAGCAAAAGAACCCCTTTTTTCTCTTCCACAGGGATAAATCAGGTGAGAGATGTTTGGATTGCTCCAAGACACTTGTGACAGTGGCCAGCATTAATCTACATGTGCCTGTCCTGTCCTTTCCCCCTTTCCAGCGCAGACTCAGGCTCCCAAGGATCCATTTAAGGCTCAGGGTGGGCAGCACTTGATATCTTGTGCAATCCTTCTGGCCCTGCCAGCTCCTTCACAAAAAGAGCATCCTGGCCCTGCCGTACTCCCCAGCAATAGCAGAGGAGCGCGCCAACAGCAGCAGGTTGTAACAATAAGAAGTTGACATGGGGAGGGTTCCTGTGCTCCAAATAGCATCTGATTTATGGGACTAATAAATGATCTGTATATTTTCCAAGACTGCAAAGCAACCAGAGCATACTAAAGGCAAACTGACAGCTGCATTTTATTGTATTTGTTTAAATTAAAGGGTAGAGTTTGAAGATAGGGTCCAATTTTGCCACCACAGCGTGACTGCAAGAAACCACACATCAGTCCTTCGGAAAGCAAAGCTTCCTCTGTCATTTTTGCTGGCTTGGAAAGCACCTAATTATCAGCCCATTTTAAAATGTCACCCCAAAATTCTCATTGTAAGAGTCTAGAGAAGGAAACTCTGAAATCAAGCTCCAAATTCACTGCAATGGATTTGTGAAACTAATACTTGTCAGCCTGTAAACTTCTTCCCAGAATATGGAAGAAAATTCTCCCAGCAGACATTGTTCAGTCACTGCCCCAAACAACCCGTGTCAAGGGACCACCGCACCTCCCTGCAATGAGCCGAAAACCTGCCTCCCTGGGCTTGTTTGGTCTTTAAATTGTGGTGAAAGAGATTGTGGTTAATTTCTGAAATGGATTCCAGGAAGAACCTTACATTGTCACGGATTTCATACGCCCCGTATGAAATCAAATACCCTCTGTGTTTGGCGCCACAAACTAATGTAGCAAGTGGCAGCACTTGCCCCAAACTGCTCACAGCCAGGACACCGCACCATGAAAATAATTCTGCCAACAACCACAGCCTTGCCAAGCCTTTGTGCCCAAGACAAGCAAGTCCCTCTCTGCCTGTGCACTTCCATCCAGGACGTCACACATATCAAGAAATAAATGGTGGACAGAGGCTTCTTCAAGAGAAAAATATAAGGAATACACTGCTACCTTAGGATCTACTAGTGCTCCAGCCTTGATAAGGTATTTCACAGTTTCCAGATGGTTGTTTTCTGCTGCTTCCATCAGTGGGGTCCTCTGGTCTTCAGAGCAGGTGTCTATATTAGCACCAGCCTGTTAAGACACCAAGGCAAATACAAGGACAGCTATAATCACTACTGGTTAGCAGAGGGAGGATGTGGGAGTAGAGATTTAGTAGCAAGTTTTTTCCTGAAATTTAGCCAGAATTAAGCAGGGGTAAAAAAAACCCTAAAAAACCAAACCAAAACCAAAACCACAACAGGAAAGAAGGCAGTCCAACTTCACCTGTTTTTATAAAGCAGCACATGCTGCCTGCCCCTTTCCTAGCTTCCACAGCCAGTAACCAGGGCATAAGGAAGCCAACAGCTGGTATTAAATAACTCTTGTTATTAACAGATTTTGTACTGCTACTTTCTAGATATCGTTTGTGCATCTATTTGGAAGAATCATCCTCCTCCGTTTTCCAGCAGCTTTGTTTTCCCTGGTCTATCACTTTATGGACACAATGAAAAAACCAACCAGCTCTTCCCAATGTCACAAGGAGTGGGAACAACTTGCTGATTGCAACAGAGGTAGGAGCTGTAAAAAAACATCCTGGAGATTGGCTAACTATTCCTGTTGAAGTCAATGGTGACATTTCTACAAAGGTCTCTGAGCATATGTTCAGTCAACATGGAGAGCCTTGGACCAAAATCTTACTCTTTTCCAAATCACTACTGTGTCATGTATCTTGCCTACTTCAACTCTTTGGCTCAGTAGCCTACCCAATACTTAAAAACAAAAGATCTCAGAGACAGCACAACTTTTGGCAGGCCACACATGCATATATGAGTGAAGCACAGACCTGTTTACAGCAGCGACACGCTGACTCAGGTTCACCTGGCACAAGAAGTTGGCCCCGTTGCTTCCAGGTGCCTCCCACTGAATGCATTTGTTTTGATTACTTTTAAATAGCTAAAGCTATTTAAACCAGACCAAAGAAGAGGCATTTCAAGTTTAACAAGCTGGGGACATTCCCAGCCAAATACTGTGCTACTGCAGTAGCCAGACATCAGGGAAGAAACAAGAGGAGGAAGGATTTTGGAAACAAACCAACCCTACTGATACTCAATTCAAATAGTTTGTAATAACTCAAAATTTTGCTCCTTTTACTCATACAAGTCATTCCATTGCCTTCACGTGCACAGAGTGATTGAGAGCAGCAGGTTGGACCTATAGCTGCATCTTCAAACAGCACTTTGAAAGCCTCTGACACCAGACACTCAACTGCAACGTCCCAGCAGGCTCATTTTCAAAGACATGGCAATGCTGCTTTCTCAAAAGCCCCTTAAGTTTTCCCAGTCACATACGGTAAACAAAATATACTTTCAGTCACTCCAGATGATGTATGTCAGTACAAAAAAGAAAAACTGTAACTTTTTTAATCCTTTTTTCTTTGCATCATTTTGGAGCAGGTTCAATGAGAGCATCCCTAAGTCTTTATCCATCTTCATTAGAACCCAAATCTCAGGCAATAAGCCAAACCTGCATCTTTCCTTCTCTCCTTTTCACGTGTGGGACATTTACACTGCAGAGGAAAATCCTGCTGGAGTTACTCAGGTTTTGACAGAAAGGAAGACAGAATCTGCTAGCTTCCAGGCTCCAGCGCCTACCTGCCTTTGTTACAAAGAGCAACTTGGCAGCAGCGTGCAGGTCAGTGGCCAAGTGCCAGCGGTCAGCCCTGCTGGCACATCTGGCAGCACACGGCTCTGCAGGGTGTGCCCGGGCATATGGGCTCCCACATGCTCCACAGTGTCCTACGTCGAAGCTTCCCATGCTCACTGCCCAGACAGTAAAGCCTGCTTGGAGAACCGCCGAGAGAGAGACAGCTTCAGTCATCTCCTCTAAGACCTGTCCATCACTCCTCCCTCAGCAAACCCTGAGAATGAGGAATTTTTTATAAGAGGGATGTTTCAGTGCTGATTTACAGAAGTGCTTTAGCCATGTGGGGCAGAAGACCAAGAACCACAGAAAATTGCTTGTACAGAAGAATATAAGTGGAGACAGACCTGAATCAGCATATGGCAGATGTCCACGTGGCCAGACTCGGCAGCAGCATGGAGAGGGGTTCTTTTACTCTGATGCTCCATTTTAAAATTAGGGTCAATTCCATCCACTGAAAAACAGAGCATAGATGCTTTCAAGCACAATTTAGAGATTAGAGAAAAGTGTAACAGGAGAACCAGGTCTCAACTAAAGGCTTTTAAAGGATAGGTTCCCAGTCCATGCTCAGCCCTTCTCACAACTCACTACATATTCAAGCCAGAAAGCTCTCAGGGTTGTCCCATGGACATTCAATACACAACAACCCTCAAACCAAGAGCCTCAGAAACAACACGGAACTTAATACCTTTAAGGCATTACAACTTCTACATAGGCCATCTCCCTCAGATTCATAGTTCATCACCTCTCAGTATACAGCAAAACCAACAAATGCTACACAAGGATAAAAAGAAAAAAAAAAAAAAGAGGCTTTGTTTAAGCAAAGAGGTTGGAAACACCAAAGAGTCAGTACTACCTGGCCTTTTTGTTTCATCACTGTTAACTGCAATTAGTATTAGTGATCCTCGTTGCATTCCTGCAAACACAGGGCTACAAAGCGGATGGAGCTTCTCCAACTAACACAAGCTCCAGATCTGGCCAGAGATTCTCACAGCTGTGCAAAGACTGACAGATGATGATGACAGCCAGACAAAGATGTCTGGGCATGATAACATGTTGCATATGATGAGGCCGTAGTTAAATATCAATGAATAACATTTTTGTGCTATTGAAGACATGAACAATGAAGCTAACACTTGCTGGACTAAAAAAGAAGAATCTGATAAATGAAAAGAACAGAAAGCATCCAAAAATGTACTGCAAAGTACTGGAGTGGAAAGGAAATGATCCCAAGGAAACACTGTGTCCTTCAAACGGGGAGATTCCTCAGGAACATTTGTTAGTAAAAACAAGCTCAGTAGCTCAAAGTCATCTGATGACAGACAACTATGTACCCCCGAAACAAATCCTGTGTATTGACGGGCTCTTCCTTTCTGCTCTCTTGCTGATGAGTCTCAGCTTCAGCCAACTTCCATTTTTTTACCTCTTCACTGGATGCAAATACCTAACTAGCCCATTCCACAGAGAGGAAGAGTTCTGTTGGACTGGAAAAATCATATGTAGCTCATTTGGACACAGAAACAGCTTATCTGGATAAAACCGTGCCCAAATGCAGAAACACGTTGGGAGCAGGTCCACATTTCACAGACAGATGAAGCCATTTCCAATGACACATCACTTGCAAAAGTGGCTTTCTCCTCCAGCTCCACTCACAAGGGGCAGTGGGGAATAAGACGTGCTGCCATGCTGGGAACTGGACTCTGGCAACTGCCTGGCAGGAGCTGGGAGTACTGCCAGACATGCAATGTCCTGGGAAGGAGCAACCTACCCAACATAAGCAGGACTTTTTGTAGCTCTCCTTGCCTCGCAGAGAAGTACAACTGCTTTGGATGGAACCGTAACTTCTTAGGTCTGCAGGAGTGAGGGAAAGAGGCATAATTAATACTCACTGAAGAACACTCCTTGGCATTTCACCCCACCCCACTGCTACCCCATCTGCACAATGAAGTCTGTTCCTATGGTACAGCTCCAGAGTGCCAGCAAAACACAAGAACAAGTCGTCACAAGGAGGTCTTAAAACTTCCCACTCCAACCACAGACAGCCTTGTTCTAATGAGGGCCACATCTATTCAGTGTCACTCATCAAGAAATTCTGGGTCTTACTACTGTAAGTAGGAACTCCTAGTAGTTACAGCTGCAGTTGCAGGACCAGTGAAAAACTAAATCCTCCAGGCAATCAGTAAGACATTTAGAGCTATAAATATTCTCCTGAATCAGTAATCTGTTAGGGTGACAAATGACTGAAGTGAACAAAAAAAAGTCTCAGTAGGACCAAAATCCAGAGAAGCTAAATCTCAGTTTTGTCTAGGTTAAGTAACTTTGCTGGGAACTGGAGAGACCCAGCAGTCATCTTACTTTTCAGAGTCCAGGGCAATCAGGGCACTTTCCAGCGTTTCTTTAACTGGTCCCTGGGCCAGGCTAGTAGTAGGCTTTGGAAAAACTGAAGACCCAGCCATGTCAAACCCCTCAGTAGCTGAACTTTCTGGCTTGTCTTCCTCTGACAACCGCGTCCCAGCGCCACTGAAGAGAAAAAATGAGAGACAGCCAAAGCACAACCATTAAAAATACACAACAGTGTGTATCTTATGCCAAAGAAGGAAAGGAAATGGATTTTAAATACAGATAAGCCTAAGTGAAATCGAAACGCAAACCGGCATCTTTTACAGTCTTTTCGGTAAGATCTTGCCCCAAAAAGGAGTTTCATTGCCATATCATTATATTTTGATGGACTCTGTGCTACAGAAAACCCAGAAACACGGGCAAGTCATAAAAGCCACCATAGTAAGATAGGATCAGGCGGGAAGTCAAAGCACTGTTCAGCACAGGGATGGCTTAATTTGCATTTTCCTCTGCATTTTCAACGTCTCCTTATGCTTGTGTCCATCGGTGCAAGTCTGGAGCTACAGCCAGGTATTACATGAATTTCCCTGTCACTTAGCAGAGCTGGCAACATCAACTCATTCCACTATTATTCTATTCCCAACAATAAGAGGAAGAAACGGTTTTAACTCCTGAATCCCTCCTATCTTCATAGCCTCTGTCCCAGCCCACCCTGTGGCTGCTGCACTCTTCTCCACCACAGTGAGCAACACAAAACACACTTGCAGATTCCTGCAGCTGAGTTTAGCTTGCCAGAGCAGGACGAGAAAGCACTTTGCTCCATCGGGAGGAGCACAAGCATTTAAATACAAAGTACAGTTTGACATGAGGTTTGAGATCACTATGTGCTCCCAAGCTCACCTCCCTGTCGTGGTGTCAGCCCTTCCCTCCACAGCTGCTGGCTTCTGCTGCTCATAGGTCAGCGACACCGTCGAGGTTGTGTCTGCTTTTGCTATTGTCACCTCCTTTGCCTTGGAGGCCTCTTCCCCGCAGTGTGGGCAGTAGCTCATGTCGTTGACCTGGGAGGCACAGTTCTTGTGGAAACGGTGGGAGATGCTGCTCTCCGGCTGACACTCCATGAAAGTGCCCTAAAAAAACCACATAGAATAAATTCACACCTTGGTCACTGCGTGCATTACCCCTTCTACATGCTTCATCCATCCGCAGATCTCTTAAATACTTCATTCATCACCACTCTTGTCCCTGGCGCTTCCAATACAGTAAGCAAGCACTGCCACTTCTTCAGAAGAGAACAAAACCAAGGTAACAGGGAAAAAATTCACTTGGTTAGGGACTGCAAAGCAAGTTTTTTAATTGTGCTTGGGAAACAGAATCAGGAAGTCCCAATTTCCAGCTCTTTCCTCTAATGCTTGAAGTTCTTGCTTATGTTTCAAGAAGTGCCAGTGTACTGTAAGGACGCCCCCAAAACTGGAAAAGAAAACTTCAGACCTGTATGCTGAGCCAGCATTAAAACTACCTAACAAAGCTGTGCACAAACCATTCAAGGACCTACGTGAATACAATGAAATCAGCTGTTAACCCCAATGTAACCTAAAGTATGTAACGTCTCTGCTTGGACCGGCCCTGTATGTCCCAATAACATGGCTGACTGCTCCTTCAGCAAACTCGGGCAACTCTTCTTAAAATTCTTTTCCCTTTCCAGCAAAGTCCTTTGAACTGAACTGAAGGTATCCCAGATTCACTGCCCTGCCATATTAGTGCTACCTGAAGCCCTACTGTGCTCTGTATTATCAGTGATGGATAGCACAGACAAACACTCCCAGGTTCACCTGTGTGAACTATGGCATGTCACTGAGAGATGTACGAGCATGTTAGACTACTTAAAACCCACTTTTCTCCTGAATTCATGGTCCTCCCAAGCAAATGCCTTTAAGGGTTTTGAGGATTTTATCTTCTAAAGGATCTTTGACTCAGCATGAAAATCCAGGATGGTTCCATTTATTACTATAATGCTTGAGACTACTGTAGCATCTTTCATTGAGTCATCTTGAAGAACATCAGACAATTAAACCTCCTCATCATCCCGTGAGGCCCTCAATTGGTGTTCTTCAGCTTTACCAACAGGGAAACTAGGACGCTGACGACTTAAAGGACTGGACCAATGCTATTAAAAGCCTCAGTGGCAGAGGTGGCAGAAGCAGCAGGAGATCTCAAACACTGCCTTGTTCCATTGCCATCACTCAGGTTCCCCATCTAAACCATCATGAGCATATGAGAGGACACAGATGGGCGTACACAGATTCATTTACAAACCGAGCTAATACAATTTTTGATGCGATTGATTTGTACAGAGAAAGAAAAAAAAACACCCTTCTTCCAAAGGAATTCCTAAGGCAAGACTTCCACTGTGTGAAATCCCAATGAAAACCCTTCAGTAACACCCCTTGGGGTCTCCAGGAAGATAAAGGTGACGATTGCAGCTACCCTCACACACATTCCTGTTGAAAACACCACCTGATGTGCTGTGGAACGAGGTGGAGCTGATGCCAGGGAGTCAGTAAACCCCTTTAGGTACCATCTCCACCTTCAGCTCTTCCAGCTACTGCAACAGGTACCCCCTTCCCTAGATTGAGAGCACGGACTTACTGCAGTGCAAAAGTATCCACAGCCAGGGCAACACTGGTGTTTCACCATCCTCCCTCTATGGTCCTCACACAGCACCAAAAGCTGGACTTTGTTAGACGGGCGCATCAGTTCATACTTAACCACACTGTTTGTGCATCGGCCCAGCTGGAACAGGAGAAATTAAAGGAAATGAAATTACTGGAGACCAAAACACTCTCTGTGCTTGTGCGGAGGAAGATCTTGCACACTGCCTTGATGAGCCCTGGCTTTTTCACAGTAATTCAGATGTGTGCCAGATAGCATTAGCAGTGCAGCAGGAAGCTGTGAAAGCTGCTCTCACAGGAAGAAATGCATCATTTACTAACTAACATGCATGTGGACCCCGAGTCGTTTGTTCCTTGCAAGAAAAAAAATTGTAACTGGAAATACGCAACAGCCAAGCAGCGGCAGAAGGGGCAGTCCCATGGGCCTGACTCACACAACATACGCTCTCCTTTTGCCAGGAAGAGCGGGTGTCGGTGACCAAGAGAACAAGACCATACGCGCTAAATCTTGTTACTGTTCAGAAGTATAAGTCACAGGAAGATAAAGGGAAAAATAATTGCTCTTCATTGCCAGCGAAGTTATAGTCTGTACTGGTTCCAGCACTGGCCCCTGCCCAGACCACAGGGACGAACAGCCAGGCTTTCACTAGAGTTCTGCTAAGTCACACTTTGAGCATGTTTTCCGAAGGATTTCATCAATGTACAGTTCTGGGCTTAAACAGCTGTCTTCTCATGCACCACCTTTTTCTGTTAATGACAGCAGGCTCCATAACTGGGGTTCACTTTTCCCAACCCGTGTTACTCACTGTGCTGCATCAGAAGGATCAGCGCTTCCTTCTGCCCCCCATTCATACATCTACGACATTTTCACATCCCAGTTGCCACCTGCTAGCATGACGCAATGCTGTTTGGGTTCTCTTAAGTTCCTCTTGATAATAACCTTGCTCTCCCCAGATGCCTGACAAAGGACATTTACAAACTACAAATATAAACATGAGAGGCTGCCACAAGGAAACGTCCCTGCTGAAATCTGTGCATGGTTTACTGTGCGCTGCCACCATGAGCAGAGGAGTCGGTCAGGAACACAGTGCCTGCTCATCACCAACAGACTGTCCCTCTGGTCTAGCTGAGGTTCCATTTTTCTGCTTTTTCTCAACAAAACTAGGATTTCTCTCTAATTTTTTTAAACTCCACTTCTCCTGAAGAATCAACGCCCCTACAGGAAAAGAGAACGGATTTTAACCTAGGCTCATCATTCACCCCTAGAATCTCTGATACAACTTACCCAAATTCAAGCTTCAAAGTCTACCTGTGGTTGTGACACCTTGGCTAGACTGATCACCAGTAACACACAGACCTCGGGGGCTGCAAGGGTGGCAGGAGAGTAACACTGCACTGATTATTACTTATGAGCTGAGAAAATGTGATTAAAATGTGAAAAGCTGCACTGTCCATGTGAGGAAATCGCTGCATTATTATGTCACACTTTATTATTTGTTAGAAACTCCAAAAAAGTACAAAATTATTAATTGCTATTTTCCAACCATCAGAGAGTGCAGCAGGGTGCTCATAACTATTTATAACATTCTCCAAGGACATAACAGTCTGGAGAACCCACTACTCACACAGATAATACTCTTATAACATCTATGAGTCACTTATCCCATTATGAAAAAGAACCTAACATAAAGCACAGCCTTTGCTATTCCTCTCTCGGATTTCTCCACAGGCAGAACTGTCAAACCACTGTACACATGAGAAGCAACTCTTGCATATACCTTTTGTTTATTTAGAAACCCCAGGGTCCCCCTCTCTCCTGCAAGTCTCCAGGGCATTCTCTTTTTAACGAATCAATTTTGCCATGCTTTGGAAATTCCCTTCTCTATAGGTACCAGCACATACTAACAGAAGCAGAGCTGGGCCGCAGATCAGATTATTCCCTTCTCCTTCCATCCACCCTTCTCCTGGGATCCTACAGGAGAACTAGAGATACTCTTATTCCTTGCCCTACTACCAGCAAGTATCAGAGTGCTGCAGTGTGACTGTGGCTCAGCTGAAGCTTAAAAGAAACTCAAGAATCTCCCAGCAAAAGGCAGATCTACCAAGCGCATTGCTGTCCTGCAGTTTCACTTTCCAGACTCTGAGAAGGGGTCACTTCTGCCACTTATTTCCACACTTTCAGAACCAGTAGAGCCCAACTAGGCCAGCTGTGATCACTGAAAGGCATCGAGCACAATCATTTTCAGTCAGCCAGACCTGGAGGCTGCACAGGGTTGCCAGGACATAGGAAGCTTTGTAACAGAAGCCTCTTGGGAGAGGAGGAGAGAGGAAGGCTGGGGCAGACTGAGCCGGCGGAGGGCATGCCAAGTTCCCGAAACTCAAGAGCTGGCTACAGAAAGGTTTGCATCAGCGCCTTCGTAGTCAAGGGAAACCAGCTCCAAGCTTCCTCTGATTGGATTTTCTCACTTTGATACATGCTAATGTATTTTAGCCCACTTGGCCTGAAGTGTGTCTGTTACATCAACTTGATCCAGCTGCACAGGCCCGGACATGCAGGAGGGATCCACCCAGCACCTCTCCAACTGCAGACCACACCACCTCCTCCCTTCCGAGTGGCTTCAACCCGACTGTGCGACACGCGCAGAGCGCTGGAGCCCTCAGCTTAGTGAGCAAGATGCTTGCCCTGCCATTCCCACATACCAGTGGGTTCCCAGTCTAGCAGGCTGCAGAGCTCCTCCGTGACCTGACACATGTTCCCAGCACATCTTTTTATTCTTTATGTCTTTATCCTCAGCAGAAAAGTCTGCGAGAAGCTGAAAGACAGGCTCCTACCTCGTTATCCACACTCTCTGTGGCCATGCACTGGTTGTTTGCTAGCGTGGTGATCTCTCTGCTTTTGGGAGTTTCCATTCGACAGCTACAGAGGGGGACTTCCTGGAGACCATCCACTTCGATTGCTTCAGGACCATTGGAAAGACCTGGAGTACAGAAGACCAGTGAATCAGCTCTGAAATTCTCTTCCAGGAGAAAGAATGCAGTCCATCAACACCACCCATGTCCTGTGGCATCTTCCCATTTAATTTCTTGAAATGCTCTCAAGACATTAACTAAACCCCGTAAAAAAGACCCCTTTCTCACACCAGTAGAAGTTTGCAAAAGCATCCTGTACTTTTCTAAGTCCAGCCACACTACAGATGACTATACTGAAATCATGAATAAGTTAAGAACAGTTTACTCCGAGAAAACCTCAACAAAGAAAAACAACAGTGAAATACAGATTTTTATGAGGCTGTCTCCCCTCACCACCTGCCCCACAACACTGCTCTGGCACCAGAAAATTTGTAGGAAACCACGCAGTGTTGGAAATTTGAATAGCTAGTGGAGTGATAAATAGAGAAGATCAAGAGAGCACAAACCTCTATTTGCAGAGGCTTATTACACAGATGGGAAAACAAAATTCCTGGGACTATTTGGTCTCAGCCAACCAAGAATTATTTATTTTGGAAGGAGAACAAACCAGGAAAAAGAAGGCAGCAAGATGCTCAGATGTTCTTGACTTCTCCTCATCTTTTTCTCTCAGATTGTGAACAATTTCAAACCTATTTAAAGGGGGATAATGGCTTTTGAGGGGGCACAGTGTGAATGTTCTTGTGGCTCCTCTGGATTCAACTCAATCACTAGATTATCCATGATTGCAAAACACTGGCCTAAAGACAAAGGGGTTGCTTTTGGTCCTATACTCCTATTCTAATCCTACACAGTTGTAACATCTCTTTGCAACGTTTTCATTGCAGAAGCAAACCCTCAAACATTTGCCTTTGGATTGGTTCACCCTGAAGTGTCCCAAGCTTTCCCTACCCAAACCTGCTATGGGATAGAGTCCCAGTGAGAAGGAAGCATGCTGCGATCTTTTAAACTTTTAGAAGGAGAGTTATTTTGTTGAAAAGTTTCAAAGATTAACTTCATTCCTGAAGGAGATTCCTCTTTAGCTGCCCTGGCAATGGCAGCACTCGCACCCGCAGCACCCTGCCCATGGCTACAACCCTACCAGCCCAGCGCAAGCTCCTTTCATCATGTGAGGAGTTTCCTTTGGTCAACAAGTTGCAAGGCCAAGCCTAGAGAAGGGCTGGGGTATTTCAAGACATACAAGCAGAGGGAAAGTCCTTGCAGTTTTCATGTAAAATCCTGTCAAGATCTTAGAGGTTTAAGAGCTTTTTCTAGGACCACAAATCACAAAGCTCATGCCTCCCCTTCCAAACTGTCACTTCCATTATCTTTCTGACATCTGGTGAAAGCATCCCTCGTCCATCCTGACCCTCCCTTGGTGGTGAACCGTCCCACCTGCTCTCTATCGAAAGAGCCAGACAACCTTTCAAAGTGAAAGAGTGACAGAGGACAGACGGAGGGGGGACAGACGGATGGATCCAGCTCAGGCAGAAGGCACTGGATGGATCCAGGGCAAGTTAGGACTGGGAACAGCAGCTGGGGCCCAGCACCCAGGAACCCACACTAGTGCCTCCTCTGCCTGGAGCTGAACAAGGGGATCCTTGGGGGGTGGCAGCAGCGATCTGGGGCGATGTTAAATCAGAATCCTTCAAGGAATGGAGGGGAGCTGCCGAGTGGGACGGGAGGGCTGGGACTGCACCTTGGACTCCTTGCTGGGCGTCTTCCTGAGCCATCACAGAATCATCTAGGTTGGAAAACACCTTGAAGATCACCTAGTCCATGCTCCACCCGAGCTCCAGCCGGGCTCCCCATCGCTGCCCCGTCCCACTCCCACGCCAGCCCCGGAGGTTCCGGGGGTCCCGGCCCGGGCGGGCGCTCTGTGGCCGGGCCGGAGCCGCAGCCGCCAGGGGGCAGCCGGGCCCC